CAAAAAAAAAAAAAAGGAAAAAATAAAAGAAAAAAGAAAAAAAAAATAGCAACAACCGATGCACGAATCGGACTCGGTGGTCGCGAAATTTCGCATTGTACCGCATGTTTCGACAAATTTTAAACGTCACGCGAGAAAATTCGTTTCTGCCCGCGGAGAAATATTACGGCGAAAAACGGGCGGATCGTTAAATTTTAACAATCACGGTTTACTGCTGTTTTATATTATAGCGGGGCTATCTGCCGGGGGAATAGGCGGGGGAGGGAGGGGGGAGGCAGGACAGGGGGGGGGGAGGGGAACAGACCTCTCCCTGGTAAAATGCCACCACTAGTGTCCGCATAAAGTTTCGATGGGTCCAAACAATCGGTGTCCGCTCGGACTTTAACCAGTTGGGCAGAGTTTGCACGGCTCGTTTTCTTTGGACGGGGGAGATCGTGAAACCAGATGAAACGCGATACCACGAGACGTCGTCTCGGTTTGCGGAAACCTGCGGAATTCTACCTTTTAGCAGGGGGACAATGACGGTGGAGGGAGAAGGAAAATCTGTTTTGGTGAATGGAAGAATGGAAGAGAAAGTGATATCTGTATCCAATAGATATCTTGGAAATAGATATAATTTGGAAATAGATTGACGAGATGGAATTATTATTGATATTTTAATTTTCAAAAACGATATTTTTTTCAAGCTTTTAAAGGATTTATCAGTGAAATGAAGAAATGATGAAAAGAAGAAATATATAAATAAGGAATAAATGGAGAATAGAAAATAGCCTTATACATACAAATATATATATTTATATAAAATTCGAATAAAAATTTAATTTAAATGGAAATACATCTTTCAATCGAGAGACTTATGACTCATAATTTTTTTATAGCCTCTCTCCACTTAAAAATCGACGATCATTCCTAAAATAGAATCAGTAGATAAAAGATAAATAATCAAGGATGGAATGGCTAGACAAGTAAAACAATTCAACAGTCGAACAAGTAGAAGGAGATAATTATACCGCGCAAGAATAAAATACACAAGTAGAACGAAACAGCTGCGATCAGACGAGATTTCTACCGCAACTTCATCGTACATATATATTTCAAACAAAATATCTAATTCGTTCATCCTTTAATAACGAATCCTAAATACATTAATTAACGGATTCTCCTTTCTACTAGTATTATTATCTCAAATAATTTCCAGATCCAATTTCCAAATTTCACTAAAATTCAACAATCGGTCAGAAAAGGATCTCCCTCCCTTCTTCCCTCCCTCCCTTTCTCTCTCTCTCTCTCTCTCTCCCAAAATCCAACATCCAATTTAATCAATTTAAATGGCAAACAATCGCGAGTGTTGGGATTAGCCTGGCGATTATAATCGTATTTCGTTTCTGAGGGAGGAGGAAGTCCTCCCGATTTCACGGTCACGTATCTCCCGTAAAACAACCCTCTCGTCACGTTAGCATTCAACATTTGTTTGCCGCCGTTCTTAAGGCGATCCCCCCCTCCGCGGCTCGAGCCACGACCTAAGGATCAAACCTGACTCTTTCGACTTCTCGACGCGACAAGATTTATGCGCGACTCGCGCGGACCAACCTCCTCGTCCGAGATACGATCTCGAGGCTTAGGCCGGATGCCAAGTCTTATATATATATATATATGTATGCGACTGTATGAGATTTTTCATCATTGGATCGACTGGACTCTATATCACAATTTTAAAACTTTCATCTCCCTCCGTTTTCTGGGTTCTTTCATCGAATTTTCGAGCTTTAACGATAAAAATGATGTACATTTACTCACCAATCGTTGCCAGTCTTGGTCACGTTCTGTCGCTTGCGGCCAGTTTGATGGGGTTTCGGCTCGGCCACCATGTTAACGTCTGCAACAAAAAAGGAAAGAAGGGATGGATTAAACGAACAAAGGAAATGGAAAAATCTCGTAAAGTTTAATTCCCCTTTGTCTAAGAACGCGTATCAACGACTTAAATAACCAACGGGTTAAATACCGTTGTGCGCCATTTATCGTTAAAAAGAGAAGGGGGTGAGTGGTGGTGGTGGTGGTGGTGATAGTGGTTAGAGCGGGGATCGCGATAGAAATCTGTCTCTTGGCTTAATAGCCGGCTCAAATTAATAAAGCGGACGGCGGCAAAGGGGCTTAACTTGTCCGCAAACAGTTATTAATTTCATCCCTTTGCGGCGCCCGTTTCTGTATCGTGGTGGTTCTGCACTGTGCCAAGGTGGATAATGGATGCGCGTTCGAGTGATCAGTACAGCAGTTGAGCCGTTGTGTCAGCGAATTATCCATTCTTCTTTTGATGGGGGAGAGGGAGAGAAAATGAAAAAAAGGGAGATAGACGGAGAGGAGAGAGGATTTTATTCTTCACGGTCGCGGTGAATGAAGGCTTTGGCCTTCGTGTTTTTATCGACGTTCGATAAGGAAGGGAGAGGCTTATCGTGCGAATTAATTTCGCGGGAAATCGATGATCAAGGAAATTATCGAGAGAATCTTAATCCGTCTTAAAATTAATATCGCTCGATTGATCTATCGAACGTTGTCGCTTGATTGTCAATCCTTCTAAAAACTTGCTTTGTTCGTTGAATATTCTTCCTTTCGAGATTAATTTTTTTTTTTTTTTATTTTCGATAAGAGAACGTAGTTCAAAATTAATTTAATATTATATAATCACTTGTTTGTCATCGTAAATGATGATTCCCTTGACAGGTAGAACAAATATAATCTTAGACGCGATACCGGACAAGCCAGCTGATGATTCCGATGGGTGTGTGTAGCCAGTACGAAACGCGACACAAGACCCATCCTTTGTGTAACCTAGCCAAACACATACAGTGCATGCAGCAGACAGAGCGACGAGAGTGTGCATACAACCCATCGTAGCTAAAAGTCAGCTTTATTATGATGGCTACTTGTACATAAGATGAGGAAATTGTTTGTACACCGGTTCTTCCAAATGATTTGCTCGTTTATATGAGAAGAGATCCTTCGTATAATCCAGGAAAAATATAACTTGATCGAAACGAAAAACTGTGTTAAAAATTTCATTGTAAATGAAATTGGATATTCAATGGATATAATAAAAAATTCCAAAAAAAAAAAAAAAAAAGAATTTGGAATTTACCACTTCGGATAAATCTATCTCTATTCCTCGCAAGACGTTAGATTTATTAAAAAAGAAAAATAGAAAAGAATAAATGAATCTTTCGACGAGATCAATATTCGAAGATGAATTTTTCAAAAGAATTATCGGTAACAAAGTTATCGAAGTAATCCATTCATAGACGTTTCAACCGTGGAATATTAATGTTTGAATAATTTCTGTTTTCTGGGTGGTCGTAAACTAATCTCTACGGTAGCATGTATTTACTTGTGCCCGTTGTTTACCGACTGCACACAATGCCCGAACGTTGCAAATACTATGCACAAATGTGTATTAAATCAGAATATTCGTTAGCAGTTGATGCGGAATTAATGTAAATGAACACGTTAATATTAGTTGACACACGTTCTATGTGGAATAACGTAATAACCGTATATAATAATATACTATATAAAGATATTACAGTGATTAAACGGGAATAAACCAATATCTCGACAATCTGCAAACTTATATCTTACGTACGCTATTCCATTTATAGAACTTTTATTATAGAACGTAAAACATTTTACCATTTCTTCTTTTTCTTCCCCCTTTTTTCTTTATCTTATATATATATATATGAATATGAATCGCGACCTATTTCGATCGTTCCAATCTTCGTTCCAAACTATTTAATTTTAATATATATTACCGGATCTCAAGTTCTTTGACATTTCTTCGATTCAGAATTAAAATCTCCTTTATTTATCGCGCTGTTAGAAAACAGTTTTATTTTAAAATTTCTTATAAAAATACCCCGAATATTAATAAATCTAATCTTTCCCGATAATTAAAACATCAATTCTATTTTTTTAAATTTAAAAAATTTAACCGATAAAAATAAATCTCGATCCATCTTTTTTCTTTTCCTTTTTCTTCTTCTCCAACAACCATTTAAACAAGTAAATCGTATCGAGCCCGAAAAAAATTAGAATTGTTAGAACGTTTTAGCAGCGTTCTAAAGCAGGGAGGACAGCACCCGATAAGAATTATCTCACCGACCCCGGTGTTACCTAAAACAGAGAAGAGAGAGAGGAGAAAAGCGCTTAACTTTCACGAATGTTTTACCAAACGAGCTGCCATAATCCTGGTTAAATATCCAGCTGTATCCTATTCCCGAATCCGGGGGAATCTCCTCCGCTTCCAGTTGACTTTCCACCCCCTCCCCCCAACCCTCGACCGGAATGGAATCCGCGATATGCATAAAAATGTCATTCAACCGAGGCGAATATTCAAAACTCTTGCCGGCCGGTATGAATGGCCGTTTTCATCGCGAATGAAATTATATCCCGGCTAGCCACTTTATCTCTCTTTAACTCGCCGAATATAAAATTTATTTCGACGAATAATAGTCCAAGTTGGTCCTGACTCCATTTTTTTTTTTTTTTTTTTTTTTTTTTTTNNTTTTTTTTTTTTTTTTTTTTTTTTTTTTGCCTGCAATCCTCTATTCACGGCGGGGGTGGAATAATTTTTTCTGTAAAAGAGCGTTTCGAGGGTCGATCCTTTGTTTGTAATTTTTCGAAATTTTTGGAAATTGATCGAGATACGGAGGAACAGAGAGAGAGAGAGAGAGAGAGAGAGAGAGAGAATCAATGTTGGTTGGAGAACGAGTGAGAAGATAGTTATGGGCAAGCAAGTAGAGTGAGCCAGGCTTGGAGAGACAAGTGGAATAAGATAGTTACGGGGGAGGCAGTAGTGGATTAATTAAATCGTGGCCAGACAAGCAAGACAGAGTTCATAATTGGACGAATGGAACGAGGCGTTCTCACGATTATCAGATAAATGGGATACGAAACGGATACGAAAAAAGGCGGACGATGGAATAGACAAGTGGAATGAAAGTTACTCGAGCATTGATAACGAAGCTGAACGGATCGAATTAATATTTTCTCGCGGAGATGAGACGAATATTTTACGATTCTTTCGGGCCAAGCTTTGATTTATTTGTAATTTGTCGTACGTATATTTAGACTGCGAGAAATTAAGATTTAACCTTCTCTTCTTAACTTCAGAAGAGAATTTATTAGGAATCTCTATGCAACTTTGAATTTTGATCCTTGACTCTTAAATTGATTATCATTGCATAATAAATGTCGACGACAATGATTGATAGATGTAAAATTAATATCAGACGAGGGAAATTTCATTTCGAGTTTCACGAGTTTAAATTTATAATCAAATATTTGACAATTATTTCATTGAGAATAAAACACGTTAAATATGAATTCTCGACTTATTCAAAATAAATTTAAGAAATATCCACAACTTCCTCTTTCTCTTCCACCTTTAAATACTATAATTTTGCTTATAAATCAAACTCATCGTCCTAAAATTTCTTTCACCATCCTATCATTATGGAATCGATAATATCAAAGATAAAAACCTAAAATCACACCACTTTTCTTGCTCAAAATCCATCACGATCACGATTCAAAAAATAATAATAACAAAAATCAAAAAAGCAATCTCACCCTTAAATTAGAACATTTAAAATCGGATAGCACAGATCTGCAAACCAAGCAACCGTCCCGAAATCAACACAGACGCACCGTTCGTGTAACGCGTATCATCCTTCCTCCCAGTCATTCGATTCGAAATCGTGGAAAGTTTCCTCCTAGGCGGTGGGGGAGGGCTGGCTACAAACGAGGGTACGCGGAAGTCGAGTATCGATGTCATCTGCAAGCACGGTTGAAGGGTGATGCTGCTCCCTATATCGCGTTGCGAATTGTTCTTCGAACTAACCGCGGCGGCTGCATCTGTAACCGGCAGCCACGGTAATGGAATATGACAACGTGAGCTGCATAATGATCAGCCGCTTCCCTGCCTCCCAACTTTCTAATAAAACGACCATTGTCGGTGACGTTTGTCCCGTTACGGTTATGCACGGCCATGAAACGACAACGGTCCACAGACGACGACACCCAGTGACCGAGGCTTGTTGCTGCGCTTACGTGTACGTGTGTGTATATATATACGTATATTTAAGGTGAGAGACAATGGAGGATTAACCGAGGAGAACTTAGAAATAATATCCTCTTATTAGATCCGGTTATTAATCCCTTTTGATTCTATTCAATTTCTGATTTTTTTTGGTAAAATTTTTAAACAATAGAACAGTAGAATTCTAAGTTTTGGAGTTATCATAAATTTCATTCAATTTAATTTTTGGAGTTATTTTTAATATTAGTAAGGATTCTACTTATCCTAAAAGTTAATTAAAATTAAATATACATTATATCGTTATAGTATTTTTAAAAAAAAAACTATGATAAATAATGAAATAATCAGTTTTTTCGTATATTATAAAATTTCATAAACGACAGATAATACCTCCTCCCTGTGCTCGTTTCGTATAGAGAGAGAGTGGCCGCCAAAGAGATTTCGGATCGGATGAGAAATTCGGGGCGGATATACGTATAACTAGGAGGGGGGTTGCCGTCGGAGCGAAAGGGGTATAACGCGATACGATGTTGATAAGTTGTTCCGCGGTGTTAATACGTTAATTAGAATTTCGCTAATTAATACTTGGAAAAGCGATTCAAAGCGGCGGAACGGGTCTGAGTCGCGCTTTAACCAACGGCGATGAATGGGCGCCCCGATGTATGTAATTGGGGGATCGAGTGACGGTTTAAGGTTGATATTTAAAGGATCCGTGTCCTGGCCAGACACGGCTGTTCTCGCCGAAACAACGGCATTGAGCACGATAAAATAAACGAATTATCACG